GACTGATCCATAGCCCCTGAAGGTGGGTGTCAGTGAGGGCCTCAGCATTCTTTGGGGCCTTGAGCAAAGATCAGTATTGTCCTTGGCATCCAGATGGACATTGGGAGCCCATTCCATATGGAGGATGCTCTCTCAGCCTGCATACATGGGGTAGGGCATAGACATGCCTTGGATGATATGACAGACTTTGGAGGTCCCCCATGAAGGGCCTCACCCTCCCTGGAGAGTGGAGTGGGGATTGGTTGGGGAGTTGAGAAAGTTGGTGAGGGGCGGGGGAGAAGGGTAGGGAGAGGGAGTTGGGATTGACATGTGAAGCAAGCTTGATTCTAATTTAAATAAAAGAATGATATGAATGACTTAGTATGGCAGAATTCCTTTCAAATGCCATGTGACAAATACCATGATGCTTGGTAATTCCTCGTAAATTTGAATGACACCACAAAGAAAACTATAAAATGGACCCTCAGTTTTACTGGGGGATATTTTAAAAGACAAAATTCTCTTGGCTTCTTATGTCTGAGATGGATTTGAGAGATGGCTTCTTTCTTTTATTTTACTTCTTCTGCCATTCAAATCTGTTAGACCTCAAAAGATATGTCCATTTGTAGTTTCGAGAGCAGCGTAAACCATAAGCATTGAGTTGGTTATCTTTACTTTTGAGGAATTGGGAGAAGTGTGGATTAGCATAATGGGGGAATAAAATGGTGTCACGTTGAAAATTGGGCACTTGTAGAGTGAGTTGTACTGTGCCTCTGCAGTGACAGATACCCATGTTTATTTGTAAACTGAGAGGTGCCCATCATTATTTGTAAACTAAGCTTCATATTTCCAAATATTTTTACTGTTGAATTCTCTAAAGCTTGAGTCCCTGCCAAGTGAGCCTCTTTTTATATCTGAAAATGAAAGTAAAGCACTGAATGGTGCAGATGTAAAAAGGAGGAACCCTGAGAGGAATGATGAAAATATGGATATTAAAATTATTTCAGGTTGGCCTAAAGTTGGAAACCATTGCTGTGTGCATGACAGGCAATTTCTCTATCACTAAGCTATATCCTAAGCACCAGATTTGTGGATTGGAAAACTTTTTGTAAAATTGGAGATATGTGATGTAAATAAACATGCAAAGTCACCTTCATATATATATATATATATATCGCAATAATTAAATAAGAAGAGGGCATGACCAAGTTATTTGCAACTGATAACTGCTGGGAAAGGAAAAATCAGTTGTCTCCAATAGAGTATCACCACACCACAGAGAAGACCCCATGCTCATACCCATGTCCAGGAGAAGTTGCTCAAATCAAAGCAAACTCCATGATTTTTTATGTGTGTGTGCGGCTTTTTGTTTCATTTGTTTTGTTTTGGTATTTTTATTGGTTATTGTTTGTTCTGTTTTCTTTTTGGAGACGAAGAGGTGAGGAAAAGAGGAAAAGAATATTAAGTTGGCTGAGTAGGGAGGTGGGAAGGATCTGGGAGGAATTGGGGGAAGGGAACACATAATCAAAATATATTGCATGAAAGAATTTGCATGAAAAAAGAAGAGGTCATGAATTTTAGGCATGGGGGTACACTGGAGAAGTTGTCCCAGGGAGAGAAATGGACAGCTATATAATACATACAGTACTCAAATATGAAATTTCCCCTAAAATAAAAATTTTTAATTTAACAGTGGGCTGGTGTTAGATAACCAGTTATGGGGCTCAACTGAGGGATAAGACTTACTCTCCCTCTTTTTGTAATCATTAATTGTCCGTAGCTTTTTGTCTAGAGTTTGTTCTTTATGATGTTTGCCTCATCCATGTTGTCAGGTAAACTGGCATCATCTTTCTTCAGGTTTTGTTTAGGCAACCATATTGCTGTGATTTCATGGATGCAGCTTTCCTATCATATACAGAAGACACAGTCTGTCACCAGATGCTCTGGCCCTCTGACTCTTATAGTCTTTAAATCCCAACTTTCAAAACGTTTCCTGAGTATTCATAAAAAGCACATATACAAGCCGGCGGTGGTGGTGCACGCCTTTATTCCCAGCACTCGGGAGGCAGAGGCAGGCAAATCTCTGTGAGTTTGAGGATAGGCTGGACCGACAGCCTCCAAAACAATACAGAGAAACCCTGTCTCGTAAAATTGAAAAAATAAAAAGAAAATAAAAATAAAAATAAATAAACTATTAAAAAAGCACACATACAAGCAACACTAAGCAGTTTGTAGTTATATATTTGTTTGTATCTGTGTCTAAGTGTGTATCTGAAAGTGTATAGCAGTAATAATGAAAAAGTCTGTAAACTTGAGCATGAGTCAGAGGTCATAGGAGATTGGAACAAACAAAGGGAGAGTGTTGTTGGTTGTTATTTTACTTTTGTTTACTCTTTTGAGGGGCCTAACACCCAGCACCCAAATAAATCACACAGTTTATTATTACTTTTGAATGCCTGGCCCTAGCTTGGCTTGTTTCTAGCCAGCTTTTCCTAACTTATCTCATCTACCTTTTGCCTCTGGGCTTTTTCCTTTTCTTCTCTATATTTTACTTTCACTCTTACTCTCTGGCTGACTGGGTGGCTGGGTGACTAGGTGGTTGGCCTCTGACATCCTTCTCTCCTTATTCTATCTTGCTCCTTCTTCTTCTTCCAGGTTTCTCCTTCTTTTTATATTCTTGGAATGCCAGCCCTGCCTATTGACTGTTTTGCTCTTTATTAGATCATTAGGTCTTTCAGCTAGGCAAAGAACCATAGCTTCACAAATGTGACACAAACAAAATAGTATCTTTACATCATAAAAGAAATCTTCCACAGCATAAGCAAATGTAACACGCCTTAAAATAATACTCCACAACAGGAGAGTGGAATGATGCAAATATAGTTCACATATAAGAATGAAAAAACTTTAAAAAGTGAGTAAAATTACAATAAAATATTGCAACAAAGTTGGCATTCATATATATGTGGTAACCAACATTCTCTAACTGGACTTGAGACCCTTGCAACAGAAGGAAAATTATGCTTGGTACTGGAATACCACTGAACTACTCAGGGATAGTAAGGTCAGGGATCTTAGAGAAGAACTTATTACCACCATTTTACTAAATTAGTATAATCCCTAACTGCATTACAAATACTTACCCTTATATCCACAGATAAGTGTGAGTCTCCTCATAAAGGAAATTTTATTTGCAACAGATGGAGATCACTACAGAAAACCACACTGATTAAAATTCAGAGGACAGTTCATCATAGAGTGCCCAGCCATAGATGGCATATTTACAATACAATCCTTGAACCCAAGGCCTAGTGAGCATGGCAGAAGAGAGGGTGGAAAGATTGTTAGAATGTTAGAATAAGACCAGGATTTCTGCATTGAGATCGTTTCTCCCAGAAATGACAGGAAAGCTTCACTGAAGCAATATGGTTGTCTAAACAAGATCTGAACAAGAGCAACAATAGACAGATTCACATGAAAGGGGTAAGATCTCATGGGGTCCCACTCTACAAAAAGAACCAGAGGCAACTAAAGAATGCTAAAAGCAGGAGAAATAGTTTTCCTCAAGGATGCATCCTCTGCTTGATTATCCAAGTGTTCAGTCCAAAGTGATATACATACAAGTAACATTAAACAGACTCAGCAGGGTATACTTATATATAGTAATTCAGGAAAACAGGCAATGCATTTTAAAGGCAGCAAGGGGATGATGTGGCATGTAAGGGAATGGAGGGAGGAAAGGGAAGGAGGGAAATAGTGTAAGTATGTTTTAAGTAAATATCATGATTTTAAGTCAAAATATCAACTAAAAATAATATTTTGTCAGTTTTTTTATTTATTTGACATATAAACCACAGTTTCCCTCCCTCCTCTCCTGCCATTCCCACCTCCCCACCTCCCCACTTCCCTTCACACCACAGCCCCATCCACACCTCCTGTCTCCATTCAGATGGAGTGAGGCCTCCCATAACAATCAACAAAGCATAGCATATTAAACTGAGGCAGAATCAAGCTCCTCCCACTGCATCAAGGCTAAACAAGGAATCAAATCATAGGGAATAGGTTCCAAAGGGCCAGTTCATACATCAAGGTCAGGTCATGGTCCCAATGCTAGGGAACTCACAGACAGACAGAATAGTACAACTGTCACCCACAAGCAGAGGGCCTAGTTTGGTCTCCTTCAGGATTCTCAGCTGTTGGTCTAGAACCCATGAACTGATAAATAAGGGTCAGCTACCTCTGTGGGTTTCCCTGTCATGATCTTGAACCTCCTTGGTCATATGATCCTTTCTCCCTCTCTTCAACTGGACCCCTGGAGCCCAGGACTTGGCTGTGGATATTTGCATCTGCTTCCATCGGTTAATGGATGAAGGCTCTGTGATAACAATTAGGGTAATCATCTATCTGATAACAGTAGAAGACCTGCTCAGGCACCCTCTGGACTATTGCTAGCAACTTAGCAGGGGTCACCCTTATGAATTCCTGGGGGTTTTACTGGCACCAGGTTTTTCCCTAGCCCTCTAGTGGCCCCCTCTATCAAGATATATCTTTAATTGCTAAGAGTCCTATTCTTCCTAAGTGATGAGAAGCTAGAGATGATACGCCTTTCATTTTCTCCCTCTGTGCTGAAGGTAGCTCAAGTCTAGAGCTTCTCCACACCCATGCACTCAGGACTGAAGAGTAGGAACCAAGTGATTTAGGCAGAGAATTAGTCCCAGAAAGTTGAATAAATCAAGAAAGATGAGCAGGGCATGCATGACTGTAATGAAAGCACTGATGAGACAGAAGCTTGGGGATGGACCTTTGTGAGTTTGCGTACAATCTGGTCTTTAAAAGAAGAAAAAGTAAAAAGGAAGTACTCTCCCCCTATCCAGGCGCCATTACTATGACATCAGAGTGGTGGTCCAATCATTTGGCTGTGGAACCTCTTACAATTTGCATAAGACCGCCGATTGGCTGAAGTGCCTAAGCCCGCCCCCAAGATGACGTTTGTGTACAGATAGTTGCCAGAGAAACAAGACTTTGAGCTGGCGGTTGGACGAGCAGCAGTTGAGCTCCTCACTGCAGTGCCTCTGCCGTCCTTAAAAGGGGCTAAATTTGATGGACAACCAGGAGATTGGATCCTGGTTGTAGAACGAATTCAGACTGCAGACTTCTGGGCTGTGTTCCCAGACAATCACAGGAAACCTGGGGATTCATTTATTATTTAAATATAAAGCCAGAAGATTGCTTAAATGAGTGACAGAGAGAAAGATCCTCATGTGCGTGACCAGCATAATCCTGAAGATGATGACCTCGTGAGTCTGACACCAAGCAACAGTCCGGTCACAAAGGTGACAAATGGCTCCTCAGGAGAGCAGTCAGAAGAGTCAGACGAGCCTGTTCAGTCAGCTCTTCCAAGAAGACCATGGGGCTGTCCAGCCAAAAAACATAGCTCGGTGGAGACAGGTGGGTCGGATGAGGAAACCTGCACAGCAGAGAACAAGCCGTCCACCGAGAAGCATCACATTGCAAAAACCAGTTACACGGCTTGTATGTACTACGTTATGCCGAACGTCCTCTTGCCTAAGATGATTATGATAGACGATGACGCTTGCGATGATGAAGAATGTCCTACTACAGAGAAAGGACCCTGTGACCGGAAGCACCACTTCAAGAAGCAACTCTCTGGGATGAGGTATCACTCTCCTGAAGAAAGTCACTCAATCGAAGAGCATCTCTCGGCTGAGAAAGATCTACCTACACAGGGAGGTTGCCTTAACCAGAAAAGATGTCTTACAGAAAAAGATCATTCTACAGAGGAAGGTGGCTTGGGTGAGAGAGGTCCCTATGAAGAGAGAGGCCACTCTACTGAGAGATGTCAACCTGCAAAGAAAGGTCTTTCTATGAAGAAGAGTTCATCTCCTAATGAAGGTGACTTGGACGGGAGAGGACCCTTTGTGGAAAACCATCACCCTGAAGAGAAAGACCGCTCAGCCAAGAAACTTAGCTGTACACAGAGAGATTGCCAGATAGATGGAGAGTGTTCTGTGAAAAGAGAACTCTCCACTGAGGAAGATCACCCTATAGGCAGAGGTCTGCCTGCCAACAAAAGTCATCTGGCAGAGAAGGGTTGGTCAACAAACAAGAGTGGATCTGCAGGGAGAGGTCACCACCTCAAAAGCCACCCTGCAAAGGAGGGTCGCTCAGAGGAATGGGTTAACTTGGCACGGAGCAGACTCTATGCAGGTGAAGATACCCCTACATGGAGGGGTCACCGCATCCAAGGGTGCCCTGTGGTGGAGGGTCGCTCAGTGAAAAGAGAAAATACTGTGAAGGAAAGACCTTCTACAGTGAAAGATCACCCCACAGGGACAAGTCACCCTCAGAAGAAAAGCCACTCTCCCGAAAAAGGTCGGTCACCAGATAGGGGATACACTACAGGGCAAAATCTCTCCACAAGGAGAGGTAGGCTTCCAAAGAGAAGCCTCTGGGCAGAAAATCATCTGTCTGCTGAGAACAGTTGCCCTCCCAAAAAGAGTCGTCTTCCAGAGAAAGACCTATCTTCCAAGAGAATCCACTTCGCAGTTCACCCTGAGGAGAGACAGCTCTCTGCCAATAAAGAGAGCGTAGAAAAGAAATTTCGTTCTGGTGAGAGTGTTGAGATCCAAGACAGCTACACTCATGAGGAAAGCAACACAGGAGACAATGGGTACTCTGTGGAGCAAGGTCATCCCTCCATGGAGAAAGGCTTTCATGTAGAGACACCCTCTTCAGGATCCATGCCTGTGGTGCCCATGCCAAATAGCATGCAGGATGCTCCACAAAGCAGCATTGGCAGTGATACCAGCCAAGTACCCCAAGTCACCCACCATAATGTGGCTGGGGCTGTCACCAATGGTCAGCGTATGCAGACAGAGAATATGAGAATCGGCGTTGAATTGAAGTTGCCTCAAAAACTAAAAGCATGCCTTGTTCAGGACTGGAACTTGGTAAACACACAGATGCAGTTATTCCATCTCCCTGCTGACAAGAATGTAGATCGTATTCTGGCAGACTATGTCAATTTCGTGAAATCACAGGAAAAGTGTGATAATAGGGAATATTCCGTTGATGAACTTGTGTATGGAATAAGAGAGTATTTTAACAAGATGCTGGGCACCCAGCTGCTCTGCCAGTTTGAAAGACCCCAGTATGCTGACATCCTCCTGGCTTACCCAGGTATTCCAATGTCTCAGGTTTATGGAGCTCCACACCTCCTGAGATTATTTGTGAATATTGGGAGTGCATTGACCCATTTGTCCTTTAATAGGGGCAGTCTAATGTTACTGTCTGGGTACATGCATGATTTCCTTAATTACCTAGCAGAGAATTCCACTTCTCTCTTTAGAGCAAGCGATTATGAATTGGCTTCTGTCGCATATTGTTTCAAAGCCCTGTGAGGATCTCCTGACCACTATTTTGTGGCCTAGACTAGTAAACATTTCTGTGTTTGCTATTTTCATTGTGTATTTGATTTTCTTGAAAAGTATAGAGGGCTTAGTAATTCAGGTTGGGTATTATGAACAGAAATAAAAAAATATTAAGTGTTTTTTAACCACGATTTCAACAACAAATACATGTTTGCTAAATAATTTGTGTGGCTTATTTGACAATATTGCTTGAATGTTTCTAATTCTTTCATCTCCACATCATGAGTTTCTACTATGTATTCATAATGTGTAATAAAATGCCCTCATTCCTAGTGCCAATATACCACAACCACATGCATACACCTAATTAAAAATATAAAATCATTTTTAAATGTAAAAATGATTGGAGATAAAGCTAAGCAGGCTCTGGTTCACACTTTGGCTTCAGAAGAAAAAGCAGTAAGAAGAAGAGGAGGGATTGAGGAGAAGGAAAATGAAGTGTGAAAAGAGAAACGGAAGAGGAGGAGTTAGAAAGGGGGGAGAAGAGGGATGAGGGAGAGTTAGAGAGGGGGAGGAGAGGAATGGGTGGAGAAGAAGAGGAGGGGAAGAAGGAGGAGAGGAGGTGGAGGAGGGAGAAGGGGAAAAGAGGGGAGTAGGGAGACAAGATAGGGGAGGAGAAGGAGGGAGGAGTAGGAATATTTGAGCAGGGGAAGAAGAAAGGGAGGGAGAAGAAAAGGCAGAGGAGGAGTGAAGGAAGAGAAGGAGAGAAATGAAAAGAGGGATAGAGAACGGGAAGAAGGAAAAGGGGAGAAGAAAGCAGGAGGAAGAAAAGTAGCAGAGGGAGGATAAAGGAGGGAGGAAGGGATGACATATTTGGCTCCTCCACGGGTCTCTATGAGTTGCTTGTCAGCCAACAACCACAGGTGCATCCTGTTCTCTAGTCCTGGCTTACAGCCCTGGCCTTGCCCCACTGGCATCAACCTCTAATTATAAAAACAACAACTAATTCACCTGTGGTTTTTCCACTGTGCTGTAAGTCTGTATATAAAGCTGCTCCCTCCTTGTGAGACACACACACACACATACACACACACACACACACACACACACACACACACACATTCTCTTAGCACAAATGGGCAGATGTCTTGTCTTTCATTTAAATCTCCAGGCTTTCACCCGATATGTTAGACTTGCTCATGGCACAGGCGCCACAGTGATAGAACTGGAAAAGACTAGAAGGTGGAGGATGAGAAGGTGCAGGTGAGAGGAGAAGGAATGGAAGAGGAGTAGAAAGATTGGAAGAAGGATGGGGAGAAGGTGGAGGAGAAGAGGGGGAAGAGGAAGATATGGGGAGAACAAGAAGGATAGGAGGAGGAAGAGGGGAGGAGAAGGAACAAAAGGAGGGGAAGGAGGACAGAAAAGAGGTGAATAGAGAAAGGAAGGGGGAGAAGGAAAGGGGAGAAGGGTAAAAGGAAAACAAGAAGTGGGGAGGAATAGGGGGAGAGAGAGGAGAGGAAACAATAGGAGGAAGAGGATGAGGAGAAGGGGGCAGTGTAGAGAAAAAAGGAGGCAGGGGAAGGAAGGCACAGAAGAAGAAGAGGAGTAGAAGGGTTGGAAGGAGTGGGAGAAGTAGGGGACAGAGGGAGGAGAGCAGAGAGGAAGTGGAGGACAGGGAGGAGGGAGAGTGCTGGGTTCCAGCCCTGGCTTTGTCCAGGCATGGTTAGGCAGGAAATAGGCCAAGCATGAGCAGGGCCAAAGGTGGATCCTGAGTGGACAAGAGTACAAGAGGGAAAAAGATACCCTGGAGGCTGTGTCAGTGGACACCCCATTTATTAGGAGGAGCCAAGGGACATTTTTACCCTAGGAAGAATGGCCTGTTGGGTCCAGGTGGTGGTATGCTGTTGGTTAGGGTAAGAACATCAAGGGTACTTCACTTGTACACTCAGAGTCAACAGAGTCCAGAGGAAGAAACCTCATAAAGTCATAGGAAATCAAGCTCCTGCTGTGTTTGAGTTTCGATAAGTAGCAACCAGTCTGGTAGCCTTAGAGATGCATGAGCTTACCATTTGCTATATGCATCGGGGCACATCCACAGGACGCCTGACTGCTTGGGGTCTGCTGGCATCTGGGCAAGGGGGTGGGGCAAACAAACTCCTACTGCTCTCAGGTGAGTAAATCCAGGATTTTAGGCAAGCTTCAAACGTTTATCTTCAGGCTAACTCTAATGGAGAGGATGGGAAAATAAGGGGAAAATGAAGGAAGGCAATAAGGAGGGAGGGTGAGGAGGAAGAAAGGACATGAAGGCAAGGGAGAAGGAAAGAGAAGATAAGGCAAAGAAGGGGAGGAGGGAAAGAGAATGAAGGAGAAAGATGGAAATGAGTAGGGAGAGGAGGAAGAGAGGAGAGTGAAGGGGAAGAGGAATAGGAGGGAAAGGAGGAGGATGGGGAAGAGAAGAGGAAGAGGGGACAGAGAAGGAGCAGGAGAAAAGAGAAGGAGAGGGAGAGGAAGAGGGGAGGGGAAAGAAGGGGGAGGAGGATGAGATGGAAAAATGAAAATGGTATGCTTCTCCTTGAATGAAACATACTAAAAAACTTTACAGCATGTGGAATGCTTCAGTTTAACTTTAGACCTATGGCCCAGAATCTAAAGTACATTTTTCTCTTGTGTGTCAATCCTTCCTTGGCTTCTGTGTATATACTTAAATATGACTCAAGTTTCTTAATTTTTGAGATGTGAAAGAGGCCAATCCACTGAATGTACATTTGTCATTTGTAGCTATACTTATAAGATCCACTATTGATATTTTACCTCATTATATGATTTTCTTTATATTAATACAGAACAGTTTATGTATTCTATATTGTAATATTTTCTAAGTTCTCATATAATAGTGAGAGTTCTCATTCAAAGAATTTATAAATGGTCAATTTTACTCAGAATGTCCTTTTATATCTGGTTCCTTTTTAATTTCTTCAATCAGTTGCAGAGTCTATCAGTTTCTTCCCACTATAAAATCTCTTCAGTGTTTTTATTTTCATGAAACTGGGTTTTAGCTGGAGATGTAACCATGCAGAGTACAGGTTACTAGTATTTATTTTAAATTAAATCACAAAATTTAAATTATTATGGTATGCAGAGGGCCATAGAACTCTTCAGTAGTGACAACTAGTATTTAGTAAGTTGACCTTCTAGACGTTGTGGAGTCCTACTTGGCAAAGCTGAGTTATCAGGCATTATTGGGGACTCCCATTTGGCAAATGCATGGGTTTATTGATTGTAAATGATTGGTTACTTTTGGTCTGTAACTATCTCAGGTACCAATGCTATGCCTCCCTAATAAGAACAGCTGTGGTGTTCTTTCCACAGCCCTTTGGTGGTGTGTTTTATACTTTTTGGGTACAAATATTGCTGTAGATGGCATTTAACTTTAAACTTCAGAGCAGATTCAAAGCAGGATGGTTGCCCCAGGAGACAGTATCTGGTTACCCCTAGATACACATACACAAGGTCATTTCCCCCAGGTACTGTTTTTGCTTACTCAAAGCCAGAGCTTAAAGCAACTTTAGTCTGCACATACTTCAGCTAATTGTTATTGTTAAGTCTTAATTTCCAGTCTCATTTTCTATCACAGAACCATCAACTTAGAGCTATGTGCATGAATCATTGTGACATTCGTAGCCTGAGAGAAACTATGTGACTTAACTTATGTTTTGAATTTGGATAGGGCCCTGTAAAACAACCTATAGTTGTCCAGAGTGTGGCCAAGAAAAATGGAGACAGTGTAGAAGAGGAGAAGACAGAGAGTTAGAGCAGAGGAGAGGTGAGAGAAAGGGGTGGCAAGGAAGAGAATGAAGGAGCAGTGATGAAAGCGCAACAGAGACAAAAGGCAGAGATATGCCAGAGAAGGCTGCTATGGGAGGCACAAGTGTGAGAAGAAGAAGAAGAAGAAGAAGAAGAAGAAGAAGAAGAAGAAGAAGAAGAAGAAGAAGAAGAAGAAGAAGAAGAAGAAGAAGAAAAGTATGAGAGAATGGATTCCTGAGAGGGAGCTAGTAAAGAGTGAATAAGTAATTCAAAGTATGTATCTGTGAGTGTGAGAGAGATATGGAGATCTGTGTGAAATAGTTGCTGCATAGAGAAGCTGTGCCTAGGAATTGTGTAAAGTGCTGTATGACAAGTGGATATGTAAATGAAATATTAACTATGATTGTGTAGAGACATGTAACTAATTCAAAGTAAAAATATGTACTGGGCAGGAGAGAAATGTTTAAATATAGTGAGATGATCAAGAGAGAGACTATAAAAGAAATAAATAGAAGGTTAGCATCAGGAAAGTAAGTGCATGTTCCATTTTTCATAGATTACCAGTGAAAAATATGTGCTTGATTATTTTTCCCCTCAGATAGAAAAGTTTAGTAACCCTCAGATAAGAATCCTTCCTGCCAGTGACTGGAGAAGGCCTCAGAGCTTCTCATCCCAGCTGGAGCCAAACAAGCCAGATCCCAAGTCTTCTCTTCCAAAAAGGAGAACAGGGGACCAGCAGGTCCCGTGGGACAAGATAAAACAGGGGCTGCATCCAGGCCTGCATTCCAGTGCCTGGAGATTTCCTGGGAACTGCACAGAGCTTGCAACCCCTAGATTCCAGGTCTTCTCTTCCACCAACAAGACCAGGAAACCTGCAGATTCAGGTAAGCAAGGAGCCACATCCAGGGCATGCCATCCAGTGACTGGGGACAGCCATAGAGCTTCCCATCCTGGCTAGAGCATGCCAGATCCCAAGTCTTCTCTTCCAGCAAAGGGAACAGGGGACCATGTGGGAGGCAAAGCAGCCCAGATTCCTGGACTACTTCTCCAACCACGGAACCAGAAAGAGGACTACAAGAACTTCCAGATTATTTGACTTGCTAGCACCCACCAAAAGGGCACTCTGGCCACTAATCACCAGACCAGTAAGGATCTCTTTCTACACCCACTAGAAGAAGAGATTGGAAAGAGACAATACAAAAACACACTCAGCAACAGAAAAACAAATATGACCCCACCAGATTCTAAACACTATACACCTGCAAGACTCCAACATTCCAATGCAAATGAAGCAGAAGAGAATGACCTTAAAAATGGCTTCATGAAAATGATACAGGACCTAAAAGAGGATATAGGAGAATCCCTCAAAAATGGATGAAAAAACAAACCAAAAATGCAAGAAATTGAAGAAAAAACAAAC